TATCATTCACATAGTAGGTGCCCTTTCTCATAATATAATAGCTTCGCAGCTGTTGGTACCATCATTCACATAGTAGGTACCCTTTCACATATAGCATAAGCATCATGATACCATTATTCATACAGTAGGTATCCATTCACATATAGAACAAGTATCAGGATACCATCATTCACACAGTAAGTATCCATTCACATATAGCATAAGCATCATGATACCATCATTCACACAGTAGGTATCCATTCACATATAGCATAAGCATCATGATACCATCATTCACACAATAGGTATCCATTCACATATAGCATAAACATTATTAAAATCAATGCAATTCATATCACAATAAGGCATTCATCATAATCATGCTTCTATGTCATAACAAAACATAACTTCATTATCATGGATGCCTATGAGCGCACACAAGTGAGGTGCTATCTTTTTTACTATTTAGAGTTTGAAGATGGTTCCAAAATCAATTTCGTATCAAACACACATATCTCTCACTCGGGAGTGGTTTAAATACAACAAGATTCTGTTTGACCTCTTAAAGGTTCAAGGAAATGAGGGTTAACTAACTGCCCCTTGCTGCGTACAGTAGACAGCAACGTACTCTGCTTCAGATCATTATAACATTCAAACCGCAAGGAAACTTATGACGATTTCAAAATCAAAGTTTAAGCCAATACGTGTAAATTCCTATGTTACAAAATTTGAAAGCATTTGGATTCCATCTGGTGGTTCAAAAATTCGTGGCAAACATGGTCATAGGTCTGATTTTTATCAATACTGCCCACGATGACATACCTTCATAAAACAAAGTATAACTTTCAATCTAAGAAGCTATTCTAAATAGTTTCTTGATACAAATTTTATCCTATTCAAATATATTTCAAATGGCTATGGTTTGGCAAAAAATGAACTTCATTTGGTTAGCTAAAATCAGTGACCATAGTGGTATTAATGAAAACTTCAGGAAAACAGTCAATAATGATATAGCTTTTCATTTGTAATATAAATTCATTTTTGTAGATAATTTCAGCAATGAGTAAAAACACAAATTTTACGAGACTCATATATCTTTCCAATGGGGGTGGTTTGAGGTCAATCGAACCCCATTTGACTATTCAAGAGCCTCCTACAAGAACATACAAACTTCTAGAGTATCACAGTGGCATACAACATGTCTCAAACATACATTCCATGATCTTCATTTCATGGTGAGGCACATGATAACAACCATTTTCTCACAATGTGAACACACACAAATCATGCATAGCATGCATTTCTTACATAATCTAAGAATCATGCATTCATTCTTGACATTCACCATTATCATAGAACAAGAGCCCCAATTTCTAAATAAAAAGGCGTAAGGATTTTCTTACATCACATACATTTTCACTCTCATTTTACATGCATAAATTCCATACATCCTTATGACTATCATACAATGGTGATGGATCCGCTTACCGAAGCATCAATGGTGTCTTCTCCACTCCTCTCCTCACAGTTCTCACCCACCCAACTATGGCTACCCACCAACAGTCACTTCTTCCCACCTTGTGTCTTAGAGAGAGAAAAATGAAGTAAGAATGAGTGGCACGGGTGCGGAAGGGGGCTTAAATACTCTTGGGTTGAGGTGGCTGGCCAAGTGTCACCAAAAGACTGTAAAATTTGGACATGTGGCACTCAATCAGTATGCATTTAACAAGTGACATACATAAGTCATGCAAGTTAGAGACATAGTCGGTATTGTCACACAAATCCAACTGTCGCTGGCCTCTTCTCCAACTCACCCGGCGCTGGCACTTCCAACGGGTGCTGGCCTCTTCACACAAGTCCACCCGGTGCTAGCCTCTTCTCCAACTCACCCGGTGCTGGTCTCTTCTCCAACTCACCCGGTGCTGGCTCTTCTAGCCGGCACTAGTCTCTTCTCCAACTCACCCGGCGCTGGCTCTTCCAACCGATACTGGTCTCTTCTCCAACTCACCTGGTGCTAGCTCTTCCAATCGACGCTGGTCTCTTCTCCAACTCACCCGGCACTGATCTCTTTATCCAGCAATGCCTTCTAACTGGCCAGGAAACGTTTGGGTCGTCACATGTGCATAAAGATGCACTTAAAAAGTTTGGGGACGCATTTTAAGGTCATGCCTCCGGGACCTGTGCGAAGCCTTTTAACGTCATGCGGCCTAGACATGCACTATAGTTTTAGGGTCATACAACTAGACCATAGCTATGCACTTTTAAACTCATGCAGCTTGGACTATGCAGTTTAAGGTCGTGCAACTAAACATCCGCTACAGTTTAAGGTCATATAGTTTGGACTGTGGTGCTGAGCCTTTTAACGTCATGCGGCTAAGACGTGCACTATGGTTTAAGGTCCTACAGCTAGACCATGGTTATGCAGTTTAAAGCCATAAAACTAGGACCATGCAGTTTAAGGTCATGCAACTAGACCATCACTACAGTTTAAGGTCATATAATTTGGACCATAGAGTTTAGGGTCGTGCATCTAGACTATCGCTACAGTTTAAAGTCATATAATTTGGACCATGGAGTTTAAGGTCGTGCATCTAGACCATCGCTGCAGTTTAAGGTCATAAAGTTTGGACCATGGAGTTTTGGATCGTGCTTCTAGAGCATCGCTACAGTTTAAGGTCATATAGTTTGGACCATGGAGTTTAGGGTCGTGCATCTAGACCATCGCTACAGTTTAAGGTCATATAGTTTGGACCATGGAGTTTAGGGTCATGCATCTAGAACATGCACTTTAAGGTCGTGCAACTAGACCGCCGCTACAGTTTAAGGCCATATAGTTTGGACCACGGTTATCCAGTTTAGAGACCATGTAGTTTAAGGTCGTGCAACTAGACCATCGCTACAGTTTAAGGTCATGTAATTTGGACCATGGAGTTTAGGGTAGTGCATCTAGACCATCGCTATAGTTTAATGTCATATAGTTTTGACCACGGAGTTTAGGGTCATGCATCTAGACCATTGTGTGGGTCACCATATAGGTGGAGCTCCATGGGGACTAGGCCTGTGGATGGCAATCTGACTCCCTGAGGATAAAATGGTTAAGATCATACACAAGCAGAGAGACCAGATGAAAATGGCTGCCCAACGAGGGATGGCGAAAGAAAGAGAACTTCACTGGGGATTAAGGGGGCAAGCGTGACTCCCTGGGGTGAAAGATGGGACACTATGGAGATCGGCTTTTGACAAGTAAGCCGACTCCCTAGGGTTGTTTTCCTTTTTTCTCTTTTATTTTGTTTTTTTTTTACTTTTCTTATTTTTTTCCTTTTTTTTTTTTTTTTCATTTTTCTTAATTTTTCTTCTTTTTCTTTCTCTCTATTTTTTCTTTTCTTTTCTGATAGGATTGAAACATTAGATCTTTGTATTCATTTCTAAAAGAAAAGTGTAAGAAAAGAAAAAAAGAATTTCAAAACAATTCAGAAAGAAAATATTAAAAAAAAAAAGAAAAGAGAAGAAATAAAAAAATTAAATTTTGTTTAAAAAAATCACCAAAATGATGTAATAAAAATAAATTTTAAAATCCTTACTAGCCATAACACTTTTGAATTTTTGCCAAAATAAAAAAATTAGAAAAAAATAGAGCTATTTTTTAATCTTAGTGCTAATTTAAATTTTAGTATCAAAAAATAATACTGCCTAAAATAATAGTTGATAAAATCACTATAGTGCTAATTCAAAACAAACAAAAATAGATTCCAATGCCTTTCATAGATATAAAATCCTTTTTGGTGGATTCTTCTATTGTCTCACATTCGCTTTCTGAACAATGATAGAGGACGCAAGAGTTAATTTGGGGTTTCCAAAGATAGAATAGGAGTGGAGTCAAAAATGAGATCTCTATAGAAAAAATATGAAGGAGGCAAGTATGGAGTTAGTTTCTTGGGAGAATATGATAGAGAATAAAAATATGTTAGGTGTTAGAGAGAGAATGTGAGAAGAAAGGAATAACATGTGGGGTTTTTAGAAAAGTGTGTGGTAGAGGAAAGAGCTTAAAAATTTGACATTGGATTTAGAGAGAGACAAAGGGAGGGAAGAAACATAAGAAGAAAAATGTACATGATGAGAAAAAAATGAGACCATAGAAATTTGTTTTCAAAAGGTGGGGCAAAGTGGCCCATCTACCCATTTATAAAAAAATAAGGGTGCCAATATCAAAAGTAAATTCTCAATGAGTCGATTGTCTTGAAAATAAAAATATCTAATATGGCTTTTTTTTCTTAAAAAACCCTAAAATTTATTCTCAAAATACCAAGTTTCATGATTCAAAAAGCGCAAGAATATCCTTATCAAATTCTTTTGATTTTTTATTTAGGAGAATTTTCCTAAAGGGCTAAAATATCTTACAAAATCATTGAAGGGCTGAAAAGATGTCAACTGCCACTACAAAGTTTACTTTTCAAGTATCATTTGGCAAAAGTATCTCCATAAAAATTTGTTAAAAATTTCCGAAATACTTACCCCAAGTCAAAATTGAGTAACCTCCTAAATTTGCTGTAGCAAAACTATGAAACTACTAGATAATGAAAATACTATCGGTTTTGTATCGCTGACCCAGACAACTAGGGTATTTTTGTTACTTTGCACTTTCATATTTTCAACCTTAAACAACTAAGGATATCTTTTATTTTTAGCTCGAACCACTTACGTAGGCTAAAATTACCGAATTATCCCTATTTGTTCAAAGTACCCAACCTTAAATAGGAGTAGTTTGAGAATTTTTAAATATTTTTTTTACAATTACCTTTATAAAATGAACCTTAAATATAAACACTACAGTGGTAAGTGAGATTTCTATGAGCCCTTCAATAATTTTGTAAGATAACTTGAGCCCCTTAAATGATAGTTACTTTTTGAATGTCGCCATTAGGAATGAAACTTTAGACATCATAATACTGAGGCTAACCACCTAGACCTTCCATGCTCAAAGGCCATGCCTTGCCCTAATCCAACATCTTCCCTCAATTAAAATGGGTATAGTTTCTAACACTAAGTTGGTGGACATACAGATGTGCTCAGACATGGGGGCTAGGCCAGAGAGAGACGAGCTAGACTTTGAGTTCTTGGGCAATAGGAGTAGTGAGCCATACATCATACAGAGCAACATTTACAAAGGAGGGGTTGAAAGTAGAGAAATGAGGCACTCCCTTTGGTTCGACCCGACTGAGGACTTCCACACCTACTCCCTTTGGTTCGACCCGACTGAGGACTTCCACACCTACTCCATTTTATGGAACAACCATCATAATGTGTAACGTCCATTCCCTTTAATTTTAATTAGTATTTTAATATATTTATTGGTGGGTGGATTGCCCACACAACAATCTTGGTCTAGATAGGGCGATCTGGCCAAAGAAAACAAAGCAAAAAAAAGTTATTATTCCGTATTACTTAGTTGGAAGAGCTGAGTAGGCTAGATTGTGTGGCTTCGACAATAGCATTGGAGGTTGGAACTCTCTTATTGTGTTTTCCCTTCTTCTAATGTTAGAAAAAAAAAAAGGATAGCATGTATTTATATTGAATATGTTACAATATATTTATTATTTTTTAAAGGTTTAAAAATAAAGCACTAGGAGGGTTCAAACCCCAAACTTACCATTTGGAGGCACACGCTCTCGCTGCTTCAATTTAATTTATTTATATTTTATATAATATACAAAATTGAGTCGTCAATTCTGACTTAGAATCGGTTCAATTTTGAATAATTCTTGATCTGAATCGGCAATTTTCTAATTGGCTTTAACAACTAAGGTGGCAATTTAGTAAATATATCTGGTGGTTTGTACTTGAATTTTTTTATGTGAAAAGGTTATACATTTCAAGAGAAAATTTTACACTTGCGCCCTCATGTAAAGCTAACCAACTAAGTGATCTTTTGTGGACATAATCTATTCGATGGAGTTCCAAGGTTTACCAAAGGCACTGGACCCAATCTTCACAAGAGAAATAGGATTTGAGGCTTTTATGGAGTTTTAGAAATGTTGAGACTGAAATGGAATTATTTAGGATTATATATGGAGTTCTAATATTCATCATCTGTGCTGGAATAGGTCTTAGTATCCTTTTTTTTCTCTTTTTTTTCATGTTATTCTGCCTTATCCTCTTATATTTATTTGGGGTAGTTTGACAAGAGGAACAAGATCTTTATGTTATAATTGGTAGATTTTAGCCAAATTCCACACCAGGTAGTGGGAAACAATATGCAACACTTTTCGATTTCTAGATTGGTCTAGGATTATCCTATCTTATGTTTCTGATAAGGATACTATTTATAGGTAGTTTTTACTTGATTCTTACTTACATGAGACGTTTTGAGGAAGTTCAATTAGAACTAGATTTATGGTTATTGCTACTATTTGGCTCTTCAGTAGTATCGCATCACACCATTCATGGGTGGTTACAATCATAAAGGCCAATTTCATGAAATGTGTTCTTGGTGCCATGCAGTGTTTTAAAATTCTCGGATTGGTAGATCGTTCACTTACAGATTAGTGTCAGACTGTTAGATCAGCGATTCGGAGTGGGTCCAAATTGGTGATTTAAAAGCATATCTAAAAAGAAATAAAGAGAATTAAAAATTGAAATAGGATTTTTGGGGTGGATATTTCAAAGGACCTAAAAAAATTAGATAAGTTAAAAAAAAAAAAATTAGGATAAGTTAAAAAAAAAAAAAAAGGAAGATGGATTTTTAGGAGGGAAACAAGCTAGGGTCCACATAATCCCAAAACTGGTTATGTCCCGATCAATTCCCATCCATATCAACTATACGAAATCACCGGGTATAAAAATTAGTGCTGTAACAGTCAACAATAGGGCATTATGACAGTCAACATGGAATGTAGCAACATTCAACGCATACGGTATACCTACCTTAAAGTGAGTGATCCTTCTTGTTGTGTAGGTTCAAGGCACAAGAGAGGGAGATCAAAATGTGGAAAAGATAAAAAAGGAAGGAGGGAAAGAAACAGAACCATACTTGTTAAAACAGAGATAGAGAGAACCACATTCCACTCTATACAGAGAGAACTGACTTTAGGGCGAGAAGGAAATTGACAAAAAGCAGTCCAAATTAGATCTTGCTTCTTTTCTCTCATCCTCAATGTTTGTGATTGCATTCACTAGAGGATTCAAAAACTTCCACCTTGCTTAGGACTTATTGAGCAAAACTATTCGGATATCTCTCACGGTTATCTTGCACCCTTATTCAAGGGGATAAAAAACAAACAGTTTCCGGGTTAGTAGTGTGGTATCAAAAGTACTGGACAGAGGAAAGCATAAAAAGTCTAATTTAAGAGGGTATCTATGGTCTTCTCAAGATTATTCGCCGGCATTTTGAGACAATGATGAGCTGGGAAAGGATGGGGCCAGGCCTAGCTAGCCTTGGCCAAGCCTGGCTTAGGTTCCTCTAGGTTTGGTCAGACCCTGGCCAAAGTAGCTCTAACCCCTAACCTAGGCCGTGCTAAATAACCCAAAGAAAAAAAATCGAAAACAAAAGAGAAAAAAGGGGTGGGCTGGGCCGGCATTATTGTGGCTGTAGCCTAGGCTCAGCACCTTATGTCGTGGTGGCTCAGCGCTAGCTCTGATCTTGGTCTACAATTTCTGGCCAAGGAACTAGTCTTTTCGGATTGGACCAACTGTGCTGGACTGGGCCATGCAACCCATTGCCAGGCCTACATTCGCTTGATATTGATCTGTCTTACCTTATTCCAAGAGGCCATGAATTCCTCTACTTGAGATTAATGGATATCTACTATGAAAGATAAGCTTAGCCCTGTGGAGCAAAACCAAGTATAAGAACTTGCCAACTTGTCGCCTAAAAAGAGATCTGTTGGAAAGAAGTGGTCCTAAAGATTAAAAAATGATTGGATTTTAGATAAATATAATGCTGAATTAGTAGCAAATGTTTCACTCTATAGAAAGAGTGGACTATGATGTGAGATTCCCTTCACTGGTAGGAACTGCCTCTACTCGCCTAATCCTTGCAATCATCTCATAAATGGACCTAAAGCTCTTCTTGATGGATTTTAACCATCTCATTGAATTTTTCTCATGTAATTTTGTTGCCACCACAGCAGCTTGGCCTCCTGACCTCCTCTAATAGTCATTTCACAAACTTGCAACATCTCAAGCGCTTTGGGAACAAGTCTGCTATAGTACTAACTAATGCAAAATATAAGGACGCTTTCACGATGTGAAATGAATTTACAAATAGATATCAAAGAACTACAATTTTGATTAAAAATAATGTTGGAAGCTTACATGCCATTCTTTTTAGCTCTTTGATGAAACAATTACTCTAAAAAAATAGCAATCCAACTCTTCTCATATTTCTCATCTGACTCCTAAAATCCCAAAAACACAGGCCTTAATCCTAACAATTAAAATCTAAAGAACTTAAATCTATTAGTCGTATGCTTGCATCAAAGACTCTTCTTTTTTTCCTGTTCTCAGAGTTTTAACAATTATATCAAATGTAGAACGAGAGGCCATTGAGCCTGAGCAAGCCACTTCTATTTGCTTCTTATCTGAATTACTTTCTTTTTTTCTTTTTTTATGTATATGTATTTCTTACTTGCTCCGACATCAATACTCATCCAAGTGAAAAACTTAGAAAACAAAAAGGAAAAAAAAAAAACAAGAGGAAAGAAGTAAGCAGAATCAAAAAGTTCAAATTTGAATAAAAGTGCATGAGGAAGATTCAATCTCAAGAGTGGACACAAACCGCCCAAGAATTTGGCACTTCTGAACTTATAGTCAACTTTCGCCTTATATTAAATTAGTTATCTAATGATCTAATGTGTTTTCCAAATTTTAATATCCTAAAATAATCTTTCTAAACTGGTAGCAGAGCAAGTGTACACTTTTTTTGTTTGTTTCTTTAATTTTCTTAATTATCTTTATATTTTGGGGACTTCCTCATCAAGTTAAAGCACCATATAGGTTCTTCTCTTCCCCTTAATTTGGCTCTCCCCTTGCAACAGGTTCTTTGTGGATAGGGTGGGCATTAGAATCTACAGGAATACAGAGGCTTCCAACGATGCATTTCCGAATGAGAAGCCAATGTACATCTTCTCAAGCATATGGAATGCCGATGATTGGGCAACAAGGGGGGGCCTTGAAAAGACAGATTGGAAGAACGCTTCATTTGTATCGACTTACAAGAATTTCCAAGTGGATGCATGCCAGTGGAAGGACCCTTACCCAGACTGTGTTTCTACCACCACACAAAACTGGTGGGATCAGAGTGAGGCGTGGACCCTCTCCACCTCCCAAAGGGAGGATTTCAGTTGGGTTGGTCGGAACCTCATAATTTACGACTACTGTCATGACACCAATAGGTACCCTAAACTTCCCAATGAGTGCATCAATTCTCCATGGGATTGATTCCATGTCGAAAAGATAAACAATGCTTCTGCACAAGTGGATTCGTAATTATGGAAGAGGAAATTGAAGACCTGTTACTTCGCTAGTTTTGGTCAGAGCAAGGGGCAAGCCTTTATAAATAAGAAGATTCTTTTTTTTCCCCTCTTTTTGTTGGCCATGTCAGTGTCAGTGGTTGGAATATATAACAAATATTTGTGATATGAGAGATGAGTAGCTTCCTAAGGGAGGCATAGGGGTGAACAATGGTATTCAGTGAATTATTTGATTTTATCTAGTATTATACCATATTCTTTGATAAACATTCATTTCGGTACTTGAGTAAAGTTTTCGGATTTGAAATTTTGGTAGATACACTCAAGAATCACCAGTATTTTTTATAAATAAATAAATAAACTGGATTTTACATTCTATTAAGGGAAAATATCGTTATAACCCCTATGTTTAGCTTCCATTTCTCAAGAGACCCTATAATTTAAACTATTTCTTGCGGCATAAAGTCTCTACCTCTCTCTCTTAATATTCTGTCTCTCACCTCCCTCATCCTCTCGTTCTCTCTGATATTTGGGCAATAGGAACAAGTAATCTTCTTTAATACAAAACTAACCAGCACTAAAACGTCCTTCCAATTCAATCCATTCTCTCTCTCTTGACCGACTACTTTTTTTCTCTTTCTTTCTCTGCAACATCCATAAGCTCACTTGGAGGTGGATGGCTGTTGAAATTTTTACTTGTTTTTCTCTCTTTCTCTGCAACATCTATAAGCCCACTTTGAGGTGGATGTCTCTTGAAATTTTTAAAAAGAGGGAACATGTCACGCCCTCCCTCTGATATATGGTTTTTTTCTCTCTTTCTCTACAACATCCATAAGCCCAATTAAAAGTGGATTGGGCCTGAAATTTTTAAAAAGAGAGAACACGACACGGCTGCATCATCTATAAGCCCACTTTGAGGTTGATGGATCCTGAAATTTTTAAAAAGAGGGAACATGTCATGGGCTCCCTCTGATATATGGTTTTTTTTATCTCTTTTTCTACAACATCCATAAGCCCACTTTAAAGTGGATTGGGCCTGAAATTTTTAAAAAGAGGGAACATGTCACGGCTTCTGATATATGGGTCTCTTAGTTGTACAGTCGTGGAGATGGCTATAGGGAAGGTGCCAGAATTACAAGAAAAAATATCGAAATTTCAGATTCCGACCTGGATTTTCTTGAGAAGTGTTTCAGGTGAGAGCCATCACAAAGGTTGACGGCTTCTCAGTTGCTTCACCACCCCTTTTGGCATCTACATCCTCCAACTAAACCCTTTTTTCACCAAGGACTGTCTTCAGCGAATCATCAAATTTTGATTTTTCGAGAGACCTTAAGCATGATTCTGTCATTCACAAACCAAATCAGATGATTAAAATCTTCTCAAAAGCAATGGACTGTAACCTTGAAAAGTTGCAGTGGTTTTGATGAAAATGAAAGAAACTAAATCCTAACAAGTTGCAGTGACTTTAATGAAAGACAGACAATTGACATCCTAAAAAGTCACAGAGCTTTAGAAGCAAAGCAGAGGATCAAAATCGTAACAAGTTGCAAAGGTTTCGACCAAGAGAGGTGGGAAAGCAAGGATTGGATAAGAGTGAGGTCGTCAATGGTGGGAGAACTTCGAGCGCTTCCTTTCTTTTCTTTGAATTCTCACCACAAAGCCCAAATAAAAGCATGCAATTTTTAGTAGAGAGAGAGAGAGAGGGGAGAGATCCGGAGTTTTGAGAGAGATAGAGATGGACTCCTTTTACAAAATGTTTAGGTGAATAATGCATGGTCAAAGGGGTCTAGGTAGGAAGATTGAAAAGATAGAGACATTATACCGCAAGAAATAGTTTCAATTCTTGGGTCTCTTGGGAAATAAACGTAAAAAATAGGGGGTACGGAGATATTTTCCCTTCTATAAAACTTATACTAGTTGTACAAGAACTAGAAGGTAAACGTTCAGTTTTAGAAAATGCATTTCAAATTGTTGTTGGTCACTAGATTGAAGAGCATACGTTCCCAAAAATTGAGGTCCTAAAACATATCCTATAGTGAATTTTACATTCGTCATCATCAAACTCTTTTTCCAACTGTTTGGGTTGGCTATATATTGAGTTTTACATTATTGAGTTAAATAAAAAAAATTCTCCAACATGATTATAAAATCTTTTAGTGTAAAATTTTGAACACCAAAGTTCCAATCCCATAGTTTCCGAACCAAAAACATTCAAGAGCTACACTTTCAAATTATTACTAAACAAACAGAAAAGAAAAAAGAATACATCTACATATATGTAAAGAGCAAGTTTCATTCGGAACATACATGTCAAATGAATCGGCATTTGGAGGCCCAACATCAGGCTCGAGAACTTCTCAAGTTAAATGAATTTTGTACGAACTTTTTTGTGGTAGTCTTGGTTAT